TGCTGAAACTTGAATGCTGGCTTTTCATGTTTACAACAACAAGAGCAAACAGAGTTTGTAAAAGTTCTTTTTTATCACTTTCAGTTTATCAACTGAATTGCTTGAGACAAGCAAAGGTTTAAGCTTGGGGGAGTTGATATGTCTCCAATTTATCTACTTTTTCAAACACTTTTGCCCTTGTTTTGAACTCTAACTTGCATGATTTGAATGAAACTAATCCGGACTGACGCTGTTTTCAGCAGAACTACCATGATGTTTGTTTTATGTGTAGAAAAGAGAAGTTCTTGGAATGTCCTGGAAATCCACGGAGGCACTTTTCAGAATTAATAAGAATTTTTGGCGAAAGAATCAAGGCCAGGGGCCCACGGGCTGTCCACGAGACAGGGGGGCGCGCCCCCCTAGGGCGCGCCGTCCTATCTCGTGGGCCCCCCGGACCTCCTCCGACCTCAACTCCAACTCCATATATATCGTCTCGGGGAGAAAAAAATCAAGGAAAAAGTTTCATCGTGTTTTATGACACAGAGCCGCCGCCAAGCCCGTTCGGGGCTCCGGAGAGGGGGATTCGTCACCGTCGTCATCATCAACCATCCTCCATCACCAATTTCATGATGCTCACCGCCGTGCGTGAGTAATTTCATCATAGGCTTGCTGGACAGTGATGGGTTGGATGAGATTTACCATGTAATCAAGTTAGTTTTGTTAGGGTTTGATCCCTAGTATCCACTATGTTCTGAGATTGATGTTGCTATGACTTTGCTATGCTTAATGCTTGTCACTAGGGCCAAAGTGCCATGATTTCAGATCTGAACCTATTATGTTTTCATGAATATATGTGTGTTCTTGATCCTATCTTGCAAGTCTATAGTCACCTATTATGTGTTATGATCCGACAACCCCAAAGTGACAATAATCGAGATACTTCTCGGTGATGACCGTAGTTTGAGGAGTTCATGTATTCACTATGTGTTAATGCTTTGGTCCGGTTCTCTATTAAAAGGAGGCCTTAATATCCCTTAGTTTCCACTAGGACCCCGCTGCCACGGGAGGGTAGGACAAAAGATGTCATGCAAGTTCTTTTCCATAAGCATGTATGACTATTTATGGAATACATGCCTATATTACATTGATGAATTGGAGCTAGTTCTATATCACCCTATGTTATAACTATTGCACGAGGAATCGCATTCGGCATAATTATCCATCACTGATCCATTGCCTACGAGCTTTTCACATATTGTCCTTCGCTTATTTACTTTTCCGTTGCTACTGTTACAACTACTATAAAAGCCCCAAAACATTTACCTTTTCTCTTGCCACTGTTACCATTACTATCATACCACTTTTGCTACTAAACACTTTGCTGCAGATACTAAGTTATCCAGGTGTGGTTGAATTGACAACTCAACTGCTAATACTCAAGAATATTCTTTGGCTCCCCTTGTGTCAAATCAATAAATTTGGGTTGTACTTCACCCTCAAAAGCTGTTGCGATCCCCTACACTTGTGGGTTGTCACTCACACAACCACATCTTGAATTCTAGCATGTGCTCGAACATCAAAGCTTTCCTTAGGTAAGACATCAAAATCTCATCGGGTGTACTACTCGGGAACTGTTTAGCCTCAATTGTCTTGCTCATGCACCGTCGACTATAGCCTTATCTGCAAGGCTAACATCACAAAACAAGGGAACTTTGTGATCCCTACCGGTGATTTTCGTGTACCACTCTGCTTCTTTCTCAGTGAAGCCATCCTCGTCCAACTCATTCACCGGGCCTTCATCATCCGAGTCATCTACACAAGCACGCTGATAAATAATATGCCAGATCCATATCCTTATGCCTTACTTGAGCCTCTACGTCACAAACAATGTTGTGGTGCCTCTCATACTCTTCGTCGGAGTCATGACCATCATTATTGATTGGTGCAGTACCACCAAACTCATATTGGGGATACTCATTGGCTTCCACTTTAACTTTATGCTCAACAATATACGTCACACTACTAATTGGGCTCACATCATCTACTAAGGTTTGGTTCAAGTCAACATGAAAGAGAGGAGCCTTGACCACCTTACTTGTAAACACTTCGAGTGACTTGACTGTCGAGGATGCAACAACCTCCTTGTATGCAACCAATGCAAATTGGACTTGATAGGCATTGTCTTCATTCAACACTTTTGTGCCGACCCAACATCATATCTTCCTAGCTACTAATTCAACTTGGTCACTTGTATCCACCCACTTTAATCTTATCTGTGTTTCTTCCACAACCTCTTCATAACTAGGACTCTCAAGAAATATCAACACTTCCTCATACATGTCAACAATGTTAACATTCATGAATGTCTCTTTGTCAACATAATAAATATTCATAATCTTGTCCATCTAAAATAAAGGGAACATAAGTACATTGTTCATCCAAATTAAGAATTACCCTAACCCTAACTCTAACCCTAAATTTTAACATTAGGCATAGCCCAAACAATAAGATTTGTTCACCAACATCACAATGCAACACTATTGGAACAACAATACTCAAGAACATCATATTATAGAACCATGTTCAAAACTAGGTTAGGAACCACATGAATAGAACAAGCCAAATAGACAAATCCAACCAATAAAAATTTGTGAGATGAAGGAGATTGCCTCAAGGAACGAAAATGACACCAGATCCACGGACCAACCCAATCGATTTGCAAGGATTTGAGAGGGGCCAAGTGAGGGACACAAAGGGGAAAAGGGCAAGAGCTCAGGATAGGCCAGTGGGGGAGAAGAGAGTGAGTGGTGAGTGAGAGCCCCACGGCCACCTAAAAAATCTGGACCAGAAACGCCATGGACCCGATGTTTCCAGAAATGCTGGCTAGCTCGGCGTTTTTGGCTTGCCATGTCAGCGAGCAACACGTGCTTGCCCTGGCAGTGGGTCTGGGCAGAAACGCTACATAGCTCGGCGTTGCTAAAAGGGTCAGATCGTGAAATACTTCCGTATCGAGTTCAGTTTGCGACAGAGATCGCTGACAAGGTCATGAAAGTGATTTCGGTCGACTCTGAACTGCAGTTATTCCTAGTTCCTCTTGGAACAGAAGATGGTGGGCGTCACAACTCTTGTTGAACTAGCTAGCAAGAGTGATTAGTCATCGTGAAGAGTTCACGAATGAATGAGTAAAGAAAGAATAATAGAAAATGTTTTCCCCCTCTTTCTTTCATGCTCAGAGACTTAGACGAAAAATGGTTTCCCCCGCTTTATATATAAAGCATCATCACCACAACATCGAGCAAGAAGATACAAACGCACGCTACATCCGCACTCAACGCACACACCCAAGGCGAGATACAAAGGTGCTGAGCATTGAAAACACCACCCCAACAACGACTAAGCACCCTAATGATAAGCCAAAGACCATCATGAAGATGAGCAATCCACTAAGGGGTGATGAGACGGACATAGCCGAAGCGAGGACTCCAAGACAATGCCTTCAGGAAGGACACGACCGTAGGAAGCCATCATCGTATGATCCGAAGATCACGTTTTCTCCCAGAGTGACACGAAGGCAGTGGGAGCACCATGACGGAGCCTGCAAGAAGGAGAATGACATCCGCGGATGCTGCCTCCGTCGGCCAGTAACGGGACTGGGCGAGTGGTGTATCCCGATGCTCCTACCCCTCCGTCGCAACCTCGCTCCGCCAACCACCTGCATCCATGCCGCCCAAGCGACCATGGCTGCCAGCCCGCACCCGAGCCGCATGGCCAGCCCACGATCAACGCGTCTCCTACCACCAGAGCCGCTGCCCTGCATCCAGACCGCCCCGAGAACCACCAAAGGTCGAGGCTTTAAACATTCTGCACCCCAACGACCTACGAGACTGCCAGCAAACCATCGAGGAATGGCAAAACCGATAACAGACAAGGATGGGGAAGGGGGGATGGGGAGGAGTGGCCCGCAGCCACGACCGACGACAACACGGTTCCGGCGATGGGCAGCTCAGTTGCGGAGCCCCCCGTCCCTCCAACCAGCGACCTCCCCCTCGAATCAACCATTTCGCCCCATCCTGCCATAGGCCCGGCCCGGAGCGAGGCCACGACAGAAGCTCGTCGCCGTGGAGGCAGAAGCAGAGCCCGCTGCCGCCACGTCCATGGATGGCCACCAGGGGAGTCTTCCGCGCCGTGCGACGTCGATCAGCCGCAAGGGCCCGGCCGGGCAATGACGTACGCATCCACCCGCTGCCATGCCGCCCCCCGCCCACGAGCCATGGCAGGGAAGGCCGACCGATACCCAGGTCGCCCGCGACCCGCGGTACCAGAGGCGGATCTGGGCGTGCCGCCACGACGCATCCGCTGCCACCACCAGCCTCCAACCCGCACCACCACCGTGCCGCCCGTCGCATCACCGTCACGCGCCGGCGTCGAGCTGCCGCGCCCAGCGCCAAGCGCCGCATACGGCCAGAGGCGTTCGGCCCGCACCGAATCCCCCACGCGGGGAGATGAGAAGCCCCCCCCCCCCTTCACCCGCTCGCGCCCCCGGGCGGTGGTGAGGGAGGAGGGAGAGGAGGAGGGAGGGCACCGACGGTGGCGGCGCTAGGGTTGCCCCCCCTCCCCTTCCCGAGCGGCCGCGGGAGCGTCGTGGGAAGGAGAAGGGAGGATGACTGCATGTTGACACACCCTAAGGTCAGAGATTTGGGGGATTTGATTTTTTTGCCCCACTTGGGGTTTGATGATTTTTCCATGCCTGTCTGAATGACAAGTGACCCCGGCCCCATCCGTCATTCTTAGAGGGGCAAATGATCAAAGTTAGAAAAAAGTGAGGAAAAGATCTAATTTCTCGAGATTTGGAGTTGGGGCAAAAGGTCACATCATCATCAATGGCGCCCGAATAAATTTTTTGTTCATTTTACCAATCGGCACAGCACGCTCCCACAGCTGCCTCCATCCGTCCCCTTCTCCTCCAACTCCTCCGCCGCCGCTCCTGCTAGGGTTAAGGTAACGTGCGCGCGAGGCGACCGATGTCGACGGGAGCGGGAGCGGAACCGGAGATGGACGACGGTTACGGCTTTGACACGGTCTTCAACGTGGAGGCTTTCTCCGACAGGACGCTGCAGGTAGAGGTCGTCGGCCGCGACGACCACGCGCCTGGGTCCGGCCGCAAGCGCCGCCGCGAGGAGGACAAAGGTGCGTGCAGTAGCCAGCAGCCAGGCCGCCGCGGCTGCGTCGATAGTCGGTATTACCATTGTACTACTCCTATTTGTAGATTCATTCTTAGTCTTCTCGTTGAATAGTTCTGTTGTTTGAGTCTTCTCTTTCCCGTTGGTTCCTCTTGTCCAAGGTAATCTAGGTTTTGGTTCTTCATTAGGTAGTAAAATTTGTCTGTACTAGCTTCAAGGTAATTAATCAAGGTTTGGATTTTCCATGTTTCGGCAAGTAGCACACAAATACATATCCATATCCGGTGAATGGATCAGATTTATCCTGACAAAGCAATCAACAAGTAGTACTATCTTCTCTGATCCACTGCACACAGAAGTACCTCTAATTTGAGGAGCAGTGCATCATTATGTAGCAGGTAAGAACATTTAGAACCATTTGGGATAATTTGCATGTGACTAGTTTTATATGTGCTAGAAGCAGAGGCGCGGCTCCATTTCCTTTGGTCAACGGTATGATTTTCAAGCCACAAAAATATATAGTTCTTTTTATCTAATTTATGGTCAAAGTAGGATTATGGACAGCGTGTGTGTGCCTTTACTCATTGGAATGGATGGAGTAAGTAGTATGAATACATATTAGATTTGTCCTAAGTCAAACTTCATAATGACCATTTACAATGATGCAAAATATATTCAAGGATGAATCTGATGGTTTTGATTTGGTATTGTAGATGTTAATAAATTTTTTCTACATACTTGGTCAAAGTTTACAAAGTTTGGCTTAAGACAAAACTAATATGTAGAGTAAAAAAAATGGAGTATGTCTTGGCAATGTAATGGCTTGGTCTGTTGATCAACTTGGTTGCCTGTGAATTTATACGGGCAACATACTATTTACCAATCACGGGTCATATAAGAGTGGTTTGGTTTTTTTACTTGAGTTTTGTTATACAAAATTCTAATAAAATCCCAGGAGTACTTTAGCAGATATTTTTTAATAACAAAATTTTGTCTGCTAACTGTGTTGTGTGCATCTTCTCCCCTACTTTTTCCATGTTTCTCTATAAATTATTTATCCGACCTTAGTATTTTGCAGAATATGATGGAGAACATATTGACTCGTTTTGTACTGTGATGAGTACACCAGTTTTACGAGTGGAGACCATATATGTGAGCTCGGCGATTCTTGCTGCAAAAAGTAGTTTCTTTCGCAAGGTAATTCTGACGGTCTTCTGAGATGCATTTGTTATATAATCAGTTGACTCATCTTTCTGATAAGCTTCACGCTTAGCTTTTCTCAAATGGCATGAAAGAATCTGGTCAGAGAGAGGCAACAGTTAGACTTGCTGATTCAGGTAACTCAGGTGTACCGTGTACTCTTCATCTTCTTACCGATTATTCTAGTTTGTTATTGTGATTGTATTTTTGATTTTTGATTTTTTTTGAAATAAAAAAGTGATTACTGTAGAGAGGCCTGTTTTAGAGTTTCTGCAACACTTTCCTACTTTGATATGAATTGGCTCTCATTACCTTTACAATCTTTTGCCCCAAATGCACATTTTCTTGTGCATTACAGGTTTCCAATTGATTGAAAGTCAATGGTTGTACTTAAATAATCATGTAGGCATAAAAATAGGCACCCCTTTTCTTTTGTACTCCTTTATTTAACTGTTACTGTTTTAGACTCTTTTTTTTCGAACCATGCAGGAGAACTCCATGTGATCTATTATAGGAGAAGAAAACAAAAATCAGGGAAAGAACCCCAAAAGTATAGACATAGACATGATCTGGGAGGGTAACCAGCCGGCACCCCAAACATGCACCACTGACTGAAAACTACACAAGCTATAGGGGGCCAAGGAGAATGGCTAAACCAGAAATTGGTATAGTTTTTAATCTGATTTATGACAACGTCAATCGGGGTGAAAATCTTTACGAACACCCGACGATTTCTCCCCCGCCAAATTGCCCAAACGACCAGAATGCAAAGAAAGTCGATCTTGTTCTCGTCCTTCCCCTGATAAGCACTCCTCGCAGCCCTCCACCAGTCCATAACCACCATGTCAGCGCTAGGTATAACTTCCTGGATGTTGGCCCAAAGGAGGACGGTATTCTAGATGATGTTGACGACCGCACAATTCATGAAAAGATGATTGCAGTCATCGGCTGTTTTACATTTTTTTAACCGCTTCATTAATCCTTATGCCTCATTGCTCTCATTTCTTACTTGGAACAGAGGAAAAGGCCTTCATGGAGCTTTTACGCTTCATGTACATGGGAAAGTTGACACCAACAACTGAGCCCACTCATCTGGTTGACATCTTGATGGCTGCTGACAAATTTGAGGCCATTTCTTGCATGAAGCTTTGTGGTGAGCGGCTTATCGACCTGCCTATGACCCCAGAGTCTGCAGTGATGTGCCTAAATCTCCCGTGTTCTATTTCAGTGCCAGCTGTCCTAACAGAGGCAGTCATGAAATTCCTTGCTGAACGGTACAAGGAATTCCTGTCAACAGAGTAAGTGAACCCCCTTGGATTGAGGTATTTATTTATTTTCCTTTTCGAGGAAACATGTGGACATTGTTATCCGTAAATCATTATGTCAAGGCATCGCATGGTATTGTGTCATTTCAGGTCCCAAGATGAACTGATGAGGATCCCTGGTGCTGGGATTGAAGCCATCCTAAGAAGGAATAGCTTTGGGTTTGCATCTGAAGTAGCTGTCTATGACTTCGTGCTTAGGTGGACCTGTTATCAGTGCCCAAATTCAGAAGAAATACGGAAGTTCTCGAGTAATATTTTACTTCCGGTTGTGCAACAAATGCACATGTTGACCAATGCCTTTGCAATGTTCACCAACGCCATTGCAGTTGATCATCCGTCTGGTATAATTAACTTCACTATAAATCGTGAGAAGTGCTTCAGTCTCTTCCCATCAGGATCAATGAATTCGCTGCCGTTCCACTGCGGGGACCATGTCTTCTATCTCTCGGCATGCTGTGCTATGAAGGAGCAGCTCCAATATTTTTACCTTGGAATACAAGTGCTAACATATACCAAGGGGGCAGCAAGGGGGGCAATAGATTATAAGTTTGAGGCAAAGAGAACACCGTCGCTGGAGTTTGTCACCATGTTTAGTCGCACCATCAACTCCGATAGCAGGGTAGCTGTTCGATGCAAGTTTCTTTGGTCGCAGTTCATTGCTGACAACAACCCGTTCTTCGTTGAGGACAAACTCCATTTGCGAGTCCATGTGACCACAAAACCGCTGCAGCCATAGTGTGATGTGTGCATTAGCTGCTAGCTTGACGAGCCCAAGAGTTTCATTTGTGCGGGCGAGGAAAAGCCCCTATTATTCTGAAACATGAAGAAACCTGAACCGGGGTGCTCTGGCTATTTGCTAGCATTTTGCTCACTCTCTTTTGGTGACTGGAATTAATGTCGCGTGTAAGTATCTAGAATCTGATGCTGGGGGTTTCACCTTCTTGAATACTGTTACTAGACGCAAAACTGTTGTCTGCCCCGAAGGTGCTGGCCAGTTAATGCTGCGGCATAGGCCAATGTTCACAAAAACTGTTGCTTTGCAGGTGAGGAAAAAAAACCTTCAGTGGCAACGAAATGCTCAAAAGTTTGCTCTCGTTGCTTTACCTGAATGTTATTGTTACCAGTAGGCTGAGACTTGCCATTATACCACAACAGAAGCTTTTAACTCAAAATCATCTTCAGGATCCATGTTTTTTTTCCGCACATCCTTCAGTTGCTGCTCACCTATTACTATTTCTGTACATGGCTGAATTTGTTGCCGGTAGAGATAGATCCTTGTGTTTGTGTTTCCAGACACTGCTTAAATCACTCTAGCATGTTGATTTAACAATGTACACTGATGTTTTCTATACGGTTGTGTAATAGTAATTGACAAGAAGTGACGGCTCTAAATTTTTCTTATTTTGTCATCTATTAAGTACTTAACCCCCCCCCCTCCCCCACCCCTCGTCCCCCATGTTTCCTTTAGGGGCGGCTCGGGTGAAACCCTAACCGAGCCGCCGCCAGCCCCCCTCCCATCTCCGACTCCCCCTTGCCGTTGCTAGATGAGGTCGCCGGACTAAGTCCATGCAGCATACGACGGCGGTGGGGCATCTCCTTGTCCCGTGGTAAAATCTCGCGGTGGAGGGAGGCTCGCCCTCCTACGATGCGTCGCGGCGGGGCTCTCCAGGGCTGCGTCTCCGACGGCGGCTGCCGAGGGGACGACGTTGACGAGTCCCTAGGCTGCGGCCCGGTGCTCTCGCCGGTGCGTCGGGGCGGTTGGCGGTCCCCCCTTCCAGTTGTCTAGAGGCTCCTCCACGCGCGTGCTCTGCTTCTGATGATGCTGTGTCGCCGATGGCTGCTGCCATGGTGGCAGCATTGGCGGGCTCCTGGGCTATGGCTCGGTGCTCTTGCCGGCGCTTCGGGGCGGGGTGGCAGCCCCTCCTTCTTGCCTTTCGGAGGCCTCTCCGCGCGCGGACCGATTCTTGTGGCCTATGCGTTGGTGCTGCAATAGGAGGTTGCCAGATCTGTCTATGGATCCGGCTCGTCGGTGTTTGCCGGCGGCGAGGTGGTTGCTATTGCGTGGGATGGCGCCGTCTGCACGCTTGAGGTGCGCGGACCACCAGGGCGTGCGGTCATGTGGCTCTTCTCGGGCGCCGGTTGCATGGGTTGGAGGGGGTGGGATGCTTCGGATGAGAATCTACCCAGCTTTGTCGGTGCCGACGACGCGTCGCGCGTGGGCGTCGCTCTCCTCCCTGGAGGGTCGTTGTGGAGCTCTCCCCCTCCTCCACCCGGCCCGAGCCATGTCCCTCTTGCGAAAGCTCAAGACTCTGTGTGAGTCGGGCGACGGTGTCACTTCAACGTCGCTCCCCTTGGGGGCGTCGCCTTGAAGGTCATGGTCTCCTACGCGCTTCCCCAAGGGCCGGACGAGCACGACATCGCGGTCGGTAGGTGCTTGACCGGCGGTGCGAGGTTGGTGTGGCGTTGCGACACGTGTGTCAACGACTATGGTGGCGAGCAAAGCCGAGTCGCGACATGTCCTTTTGATGCCGACAGTTCGGTGCGCCAATGGGGGCGTCTATGCTGATTTCTGGCTGTGACAGAGAAGTCGAAGCTGCGGGTGGCGGGGCCATTACGGCAACGATGACTCCATGAGAGCGTTTTTTAGCAGGCGGTGCTCTCCGGATGCTGCACTGGACTAGGTCAGTGCGAGGCTTGCAACTTTCTTTGTGAAGCTCGTTAGCAAAATCGGAGCTGCCTTCTTCGGTCGACTGTTTGGCGTTTGTGGCCAGGCCGTCCGCGTGTCCCCCTTGTGGGGTTTGTAATCTAGGTTTTCGCCCGGTTTTCGTCTAATTAACTAGATGATTCTCTTCTGCTTAATAAATAAAAATGGCAAATCTTTTGCCTCATTTCAAAAAAAGGTACTTCCTCTGTTCCTAACTACTCCCTCCGTTCCAAAATATAGCGCGTCCTCGGTTTCCGTGCTTCAACTTTGACCATTAATTTAATCAACAAGACCGACTGCGGCGGGCGAAAAAATTATACCAATGAATTCGTATTCAAAAAAGTTTTTAATTATATAATTTTTGATCCCGCCGCAGTCGGTCTCGTGGGTTAAATTTATGGTCAAAGTTGAACCTCGAAAAGCGTGGGCGCGCTATATTTTGGAACGGAGGGAGTATAAGTCTCTTTAGGGATTTCAATGAGGACTACATATGAATGTATATAGACATATTATAGAGTGTAGATTCATTCATTTTGCTTCGTATGTAGTTTATATTGTAATCTCTAAAAAGACTTATATTTAAGAACAGATGGAGTACTATCTATGTTTGATTTGTTTTGCATTCGTTTGATATCAGTTTGACAATATTTGTGTTGATAGTTAAACGGAGGGAGTACTATCTGTGTTTGATTTGTTTTGCATTCGTTTGATATCAGTTTGACATTATTTATGTTGATAGTCAAACAAGGGAGTAAACACTTTTATTATTTCTGGTGTCCTATTCTACATCATCTTTATTTTTTTGCGAAACTATTTTACACATCTTTTACCGAAGAAAATTTTCTGCTGCCCTAAAATCTTCTCTCTCATGCCTTAATTTGTTTTTAGTGCGCCCTGCTTTGCATTATTTGTTGGAGATGCTTTTAAGGAGAGTCATCTGTGATTCGTGTACCGTAACGGTACTGGTTAAGGGCTGTTAAATGGGCGTGTATGTCCTGCTATGCAGCGAAGTCGCTGGACTGTTAATGTACACTTTGTCGTGAGTTGGCTGATATGTTGCCGATGACCACTCTAATTGGATGGAGTGTAATCCTCAGAATTATATTGTGTGATTCATTATTGTACCTGGACATTTTTTTTCCGAAACGGAGGCAAAAGATTTGTCTCATCCATTAATTAAGCAGAAGAGAATTGCCCAGTTAATCAACGGAAAACCGGGCGAAAATCGTCACAAACCGCTGAGCGGCACACCAAGATATCCCACACACACCTTTACAAAGAGTGCCTTGTCAAGCTAGCACACAAGCGTCATCGTCATCACATCTCCCCAAACAGGCGTCATCACCACCCCTAATCCCCAAGCAAGCGACTTCGACTTCTCCGTGGACGAACGTCGAACCAACACTCACCGCAGAGGCTGAGTAGGAAAACATGAAGATCCATGCCAGAACCCAACCACCCGCATCGAGGGCTACACGGCTCCGGCTCTGAAGCAAAGATCCAAAAGAAAACTATGCAGGACTGGTGTCGTGGAAGACCACCGAACGGACCACATGCTGCATGTTATCATTGCCACAGGGGCCCCGCCGCCGCAGCTCCGACTTCGCCACAACAACCAAACCGAGGTAATCTCAGGAACACGTCGAAGAAGAGCCGACTACCACTGCAATGTCTCCGACTTCACTTGCCCTATCGTCGTTGCCACATAAGCCTCGACGCCATACCATACCTGGACATTTTAGTATCTTCTGTGGCAGTTGATAAATTTCCTTTGACAAATCTGCCCTCCCTGCTCCCTGGTAACAGGAAGTTTCACAGCACGTGCCTCGAGGACTGAATCCTGATCATGTATAGTTCAATGTTGATAAGCCTGTTGCTCGGCAGATTATGGATTATTTCAGCGCGACTGAAATCTCAAAACTTTTATTGGCTAGTTTGTTCAGCTAGACCAGACCAATGTGTCCAGCCCCATGGACCCGGATGTGATTGTTGCTAGAGGGCAGGCTGACACTTTGCCATTACACCACAACTGAAGGTCACCTTTATTTTTCTTTGAAGAATTTGAAGGCCACCTGCCCGTTGCTGTTGCTGTTCCATCCCTGCTGACGCGGGCGGCGCAGTTGCTCCGGACGGCGCGCTGACTGCTGCTGTGCTGTGTTGATGGGAGTCGTGGTCTGCGCTGCGGTCACCCAGGTTCCCGATCTTGCGCATGCGGAGCCGGAGGAGGACAAAGGTGCGTGCAGTGCAGTAGCCAGCAGCCAGGCCGCCGCGGCTGCTGCGCCGGTGACTTTTTGTCCAAAAGGATCCCCTGCCGAGATGAATTGTCAAAAAAGACTATCTCTGGATCAATTTGACAAAAAAGACCCCTCAGCGGTGGCGGCAGGTGACACGTGGCACCTGCCGCCACGCCAGGAGGCGGCGGGCCCTGCCGCCACCGCAGGAGGCGGCCACCCCAGCCGAACGGCTTTCCTACAGTGCATCGCACCGCGACGTAACGGGCGAGGCCAGGCGGGCCATGCCGCCACTGGGTGAGGCGGCCTAGCCCGCGCCTCGGCCCGCGCGCAGCAGAGGCCGTCGGCCAGCCAACGCGCCAGGAGGATGCCGCCTCCGGCTGTGGCGGCGAGGCCCACTGGCGGGGCCCGGGCGCAGCAGAGGTTGTCGGCCTGCCAGCGACCGCGCCAGGGGAGGCCGCCTGGTCTAGTGGCGGCGTGGCCCACAACGCCTGGCCCGTTCCGTCGCGGCGCGATGCACTGTGCGGAAGCCGTTTTGGCTGGGTTGCCGCCTCCGGCGATGGCGGCAGGGCCCGCCGCCTCCTGGCGTGGCGGCAGGTGCCACGTGTCACCTGCCACGCCTGCCGCCACCGCTGAGGGGGTCCTTTTTGTCAAATTGATCCAGAAGTAGTCTTTTTTTTTTCATCTCGGCAGGGGGTCCTCTTGGACAAAAAAAATCTGCGCCGGTCGCTACTCGGTACCACCATTGCATTCGTGCTTTATAGATCTACTAGATGGAAAGTGCGTCTTGCCGCACCCTGC